TTCATTTTTCCGAATCATCTCTTTCACTTCTTTTAAATCTTCTTTCAAATCGTCATGAAGTGTCTGTATGAGATTTTTTAAATCCGTCGTTTCTGATGTTTTTAACGTTTCTGTTGTAGAGGGGCTTGCTACTGAATGCAAATGTGCTGTAAATTTCTTCATCCCTTAGTTTTATATGTCCCAATTTATAATCCATTTGTGATTACTATTTATAATCCAAATATCTAATTCACCTTGCTGGATTAACCAGAAAAAAGAAAAAGAAAAAATATAAGCAAAAAAGTTAAAGAAAATTCAATCTGCCCCTCTCCCCCCTCCCCCCCCCCAGTGAAAAGGTATCCAATAATAACATCCAGCAAAAAAAGAGAGGAAAAGGGGGAAAGGAAGGAAAAAAAGATATATGAAAAGAAGTTGAAAAAGAAATTTTTTTAATCCATTATCTTTCTTCAGGATCTTCTTGCCTTAATCCAAATTTTAAATGAACCAGCAGTATTTTTCTTCGCTCACTCAGAGAAAAAGAAAAAGAAGAGAAGAGAAAAAGAAAGGGACAAAAGGAAAGGTTTTTATCCAGACTGTGTTCTACCATCAAATAGTAGACAAGGGGGGAAAAAATAGAATTCTTTCACTTCTCGGTATTCTTTAGGCACATGCTGGCTGCCAGGTGGGGCCCCTCTGGCCAGGGCTGCAGTTTCCAGCACACGGGCCTTCACTTCAGTCGTGTCTTCTAGGAGGTGTTTCTGACTCACAGATGGCAGTGGTCCAACACCAATGACTAGCTTCCTATAGCCGTCCTCCCAGGAGATTGTGGGGCCCCACTTATCTAGCCACGTGAGTCCCAATATGACTGAGTCAGTCATCTTTGGGGCGATTACAAAACGGAGTTGTTTTTGGTGAAGACCCATCTCCAGCTTGACAAATTCAGTGACCAAGGTACCAGGGCCCCCACCAATTAGCATCCCATCGACTTGTTCAAAGCTGATGGGGTGTACAAGGGGCCTCGTGCGTATGCCCAACTGTTCGACTATGGGGAGACTGATTAGGCATCACGTGCAGCTGGTCTCTATGATGGCTTTTAATTCCCCTTGGACCCCTGTCTCTGGGACTACTACCTTGATTTTGAGAGCAAAGGGGTGGATGGCTTCACTTACCATCAGGTCGTCGTCACCACTGCTTTCCCCCACAGAGACTGGAGGAGATTCATTGGCCAGAGTACTCTCTGCTTTGTTGGGAAGGAGAGGGACTTCTGCAGCCTGTTTGACACTTTGTCCTTTGTCTGGCGGTTTCTGTGGGGTTTTCTTTGCTCCGGCTCTGGTGGGAGACCGGGTTTGGGGAATTTGAGTCGGAGCTAGGCATTCCAAGGCCCGGTGCCATGCTGACCACACCGGTAGCACTTGACAGTCCCAGAAGGTGTGGGGGAGGCACCTTGGTTTTCTTCACTTGGGTCCAATGTCCAATGGTCTCCTGGCAGGTTTTTCCACAGCTGGTTTCCTGTGAAGGTGAATCTCCAGGTCCAGAATGATGGCCGTGTTGTACCATAATTGTATCCGGTTCAGTACTCCCCTAATGCTGCAGGCTTGCCTGAGGTCTGGATCAAGGGCCTCTTTGAAGGTATGCACCATTAGGCGTTCTGGCCAGTCTTGCAACTTTCCAGCCAGTCTCCAAAACAGTCTCCAAAACTCCACATATTAATTCCCTTGTGGGTCTGCCAGTTTGCTTCAGGGCTTTAATTTAGGTTTCAGCTTCCACTTGTTGGACAGTGTTATTGAATCTGACCCACATCAGCTGGACGAATTCATCGGCATCCTCTAGCTCAGGGACTTCTTCGTGATGAAGCTCCACTAACTATTCCGAAGCCTCTCCTTTATTCGTGCCATCTGCGATGGTGGAAATCAATTCCCGATTGGATGGATATTGATTTCCATGTTGGTTGAAGTGGGCCCAGATGTGGTTGAGAAAGTATGCCAACTTCCCGGGAGTCCCATTGAACGTCACCCAGAACCGTGGGGGAGGAGGGGCTGGCGAGACTGGAGGCTGGGCTTGCATAGGTTGTTGGCCCGGAACTTGCTGCTGGGCCGGAACCTGTTGCGAAACCACCGGCACCTGTTGTTGAGCCTAGATTTGTTGAGGCTTGAGGTTGCCGGTGCGGCTGCAGCGGCACAGGAGCTTGCTGCGGCACAGGAGCGGACTGCTAGAAGGAACTGAGTGGTTGAAAAGGCATCGGCTGCTGGGTTAGGGCCAGTGTCCACTGGCATTGCATCCATCCTTGCCCCGGGTAGAAAGCCCACCCACGAGGGATTTGGCTCGTCGGTGGCAACCCAAACCCGGGTTGATGCTGCAGGGCAGGTAAGCTCCAGAATCCCTGCAGCAGTCCCTGCATTCCGTGGCTGGACTGGCTCAATAAGGCTGGTTGCTGGGTCATTTGAACCCCCGGGGTGGATGGAGCCCACAGCTGGCCCAGTTTGAGGTGCAAGGCTGTGAGTCAAGCCGCTTGGGGCTGAATGGAAAGAGGCCGATGCTCCGCTCCATTGGGGTACAACTCCTTGGCTTGGGAAGGTGAATGTTGGTTGCACCAAAATCCACTTAAGCTGCTCGGTGCCGAGGGGCTGAGTCGTCCCACTCACGCTGAGTTGGCTCAACTGCTCCGGGAGACTGGCCAGTGTGACGGCAGCAGGAAGCCCCATTCTCCAGAACGCCTGCGGTGCGTCTGCTGTGGCCCTCTCTACCCAAGGGTCAAGGCTCCTGCGGCTTCAGACTGCAGAATCTCTGCTCTGGCATCGGTTCCTTGTGTCGGGCACCTAGCTGGCGTTCGGTTTCTGCAGCTTTTATGGCTTCCTCCATAGCTGGGGAAGGAGAGTAGAGGGTCTCAACAGGAGTTGTTGAGCCTACTACCTCCTCCGTGGCCTTCTTTTCTTCCTCTATCTTCTCTGAGTCTGTTGTGGCTCCATTACCGGAGCCTGTGTCATCATCAGGAGAGGACTCCGAGAGTGAAGGGGAGGAGTTGGCAAGGCCTCCCTCTCCAGGACCCTCCTCTCTGGCAATTCCTTCGGTGTCCACCGAAGAGCAAGAGATAGGGCCAGGGCCAAGCACGTCCACGCAGCCACAGATGGACAGTGATGAGGGTAATGAGTCTTGGCTGGACCCACGCCAGCATCGCAGAGATAAGCGCGCGCAACAGAAGAAAGGGCGTGCCCAAGATTAGGCTGAGTCACTGGACCACACCCCACAGGATATAAAAGGGAGCGTGGTGGCCAGTCAAACCTTGTGACGAACAAAGCTGAAAGCTTCCACGCCATTCTGCATTGCCAGACTTTTGCTTTAAGACTGGATTATCTCTGGACTTGATTGTAATTATTGAGCTGCTTTCCTTTGATGTATCAGAAGTGGGGAGAAGTTATCTCTCCTCTTCGTAAATAATAAACTCTTGGCAGGCTGCCACTAGGTTGTTGCCAAGTTCCGTTATCATAAGGAAAAGGATTTTGCCGGCTGGTTTGGTCTTTAACTCCTGAATGTCTGTTGGTGTGTGTGCGTGGGGTTGGGGACAGAACAGAGTCTTCGCGCTGGGGGGAGGTGCTATAGTTAGAAAGGAGATTCAGGTTAATGTCAGGGTTCCAAGTAACATACCCAACAAAATCAAAATCCAAGGCTTGAAGTTCTTCAAAGCTAACTTTTATTAGAGATGTCATATTGGCACATCTGTGAAAACCCGAATCTGAGAGTTGCTGGGTTTTCCTCACCCAAAAGAAAGTTCAAGTCCTTGCCCATCACCCACATGTTCATCACACAAACCAATCAGGTACTCTCCGGAACAGAAGATACCTTCCCAGTCTTCTCAGCACAGCTGCAGAGCAAAGCGGCCTTGACTTTCTGGAAAGAATGTTATTTTAACTACATATCATCTTCATTCCATACAATCCCCCTCCCATTTTCCCACAGTAGAATTTGTGGCAGGCCTGATGGCTCAAAGGCAAAAGATGGCTTCCAGTTCTGACAGTCCCAGTGGACTGATTAGCAAGCCCTGTCCTATTTCTCTCTAGTAAATGGTTGGATCATAACAATAGGAGTAAAACAGAATTTTCTATTATTTATCATTTTTCTGTTTTTGCTCAAATACCACCTTCAGTGTGGGATTTGCTACTGCAATATTGTGACAGTGCCAGAGTGTTCATTACATTTACTGCAGTCATACAATCATAAATCTGCTTTTAATCTTACTAAGTAAATAAAGGTACTAAGGATACTTAACTGCAGATCTCAAGATTTGAAAGTTCACATAGATTATTGAACAATGGAAGAAATGTACCAAGAAAAAGCACTGTCTGATCCAACATTAGATGCAAACAGTTGAATCCAAGGCTCAACTTGAGAAGTGTTCCAGTGAGGAAGGTAAGATTGTTGTAGACCAGAATAACTGAACTTCTTCAACCTGGCACCATCCTAATGATTACTACAGATTTCCACAGAATCCTCATGAATAACTTCTGTAAGAATATGACTATTGATTAATTTGTTCATTATCTGCTAAATACCAAAATACCATCACTGATCACCTCAATTAATTGGCATTTTGGTGCATTATGCTACAACAATTCCATTGCTACTTTATTGTTAGAGATATTTCACAAGATATGTATCGTGCTATTAAAAAAAAGAAGTCTCACCCACCCACTCCAGTCACACATATAAAATCTTATACATGTGGTAATATAAAATCCACACCCTTCTCTTCTGAGAGTTTAAGAACATAATAGATTAATTATACTATTCTTAAATACATTTCTCTACTATTAAAAATATTACATCTTATGTTAGGCACTGTTTTGTACCCCAAAAACTTACATAAAGCTGCTAGGAGGAATTATCAGAGGTTTTAATGCTACTTATCTGTAGCACATGAATTGGAGTGACTTTGTATATTTTAGACCAATTATTGCACACACTGATAGAAAGATGAATGCTGTGGTAGAATAGATGAAGTATACTTCTGCTTTTCTTTTTATTAGGTGAGGATGATCTATTAAATCCTCCCCGGGCCACAACCACAGGATTAGAAGAGGTCATGGAACAGCTTAACAATTCCTTCCCAAGTACAAGAGGTAAGGATCATTCAGTAGGGCATGATGCAAGTACCGGTGTATTACAGACAGTGGATCTTTCTTTCAAATTGATATTATACTCAGAAATACATAAGTAAAAGATGCAAGTCTAAAAGAGAAAACCACAACTTTACCTCCATAAATACTATGATTAGCTGGAAATAATTATAAAATGTGTAGTGCAGTCTTTGTGTTCTTTTAATCTTTTGCATTTAATAAATGTATGTATTGGTACAATAATAAATTAATACGTGGATTACATAATGCAAAAGTTAAAATATATTACTTATATATTTGGTAGAAAGGAAGTTGTTCTTTGAAAGATTAGAAAATTCCCACCATTCTATAGTTAGCTGAAGCTAGTAGTTTCAATAAATAACAATTGCTCCATTTCATGTTTTTCTGTCACATCAATATGACTACTCTGTCCATGAACAAAACGATTACTATATAGTAATCATATACAAATATATATATATAATATACAATTTCTGTATACATACTCTTAATTGTGAAGCTCAGAGCATATTTATAGCGACTGTGACTCCTTTTCACAGCTTTATGATAACTCACAGTTCTCAAAGCAAAAGATTTGATATTTGAAAATAAAAATACTAAATACCAGTGTAGTGGTTTATGAACATTTTTAAACTGATAGGTTAGAGCAAATTACTTTATATTTTAAGACAGTTTGTATAACTTAGGGGACTTTTTGTGTATATTCAATATGGATCTTCCTCATAAATATTGATTTGAAAGTATGTTTTTATTGTTATAAGTTATATGCACCATTTATATTACGGTAAGCTGGGATGAATTCGCCATATATTGGCTCTAATCAATTTTGAAATAAATGACATTATTTAACCAGGCATATATTGCCCAATGATTATAATAATTTTCTTTAATTAAATTTGGTGTTCAGTAGAAGCTGAGTATTCCCTTATGCCTTTTTAATGAAACAGGTACTTGCATTCTCAGGAAACAATTATTTGGATTAATTAAACACCTTGTGATCTTTATAAACACTTGGAATTTATACATTTACATTTTATATGTTATTTTTTCAAAATTATTTAAAATAACTTATGTAATTTTGTCCTTATATTTTTCACTGTGTCTTTTTAGTACGAAATAAAGCGTAATATTTATTTGTGGTTTTAAAAAGGTAGTTAGGGATAAAATTGATAGAAAGCCAACATTTCCATCACAAATCAGATTAGAACCTATGTACAAATGTTAAGCCAAATATTCATTTTCCATTGCTTGGATTTGTTGTTTTGTTGAGTAAAAGGTTTATGGATATAAATTCCAGAGATGAGAATATTTAATTGAATGTTGGACAATAAAATTCTTTAGTAGAAATATATAACAATATTTTTGTTAGCACTTTGAACTGATTTTCTGTGATCTATCTCTCATTCTTCCCTTTCTTCACACAGTAAATGTATTGTGAACCATGGATTAATTCTTTTTAGGATTGTAAGTAATTAAATATTTTAGCATAAAAGTTGACTTAAATCCAAACATATCTGGCAAAATACACTTAGAAAACACAATGTATTTTTCAAAGTTGTACAGGATCCATTGATGGTATTGGAATTACATTGTCTTTTCCCAAATTAATGTCCTTTTTCAAAACACTGATCTGAAGATGTGTATATCCATCTCCTTATTTCAAAGGCTGACAGTGAAGGAAATGTGTGTATGGGAGGTTTACTGAAAAACAAAATTATGTGGATTTAAATACTTTGCACCCTTTTTCAAAAACTGTTGTTTTAAATCTATGTTCATAATAATAATTGATATATTTTGTGTGTGTATGTGTTTTCATTTTCTTTTTGATACATCTAATATAAAGGAAGAAATGGCTCTGGAAAGCCAGTGAGTGAGGTTAGTGCATATAATGCCCACTGCAAGAGCTTCTCACTGCTTCATTCTCCTTTTTTTGGAGGTGTGTGTGTGTGGCACTTGTGGCACAGCATGTGTGTTTTTCAGTACTTGTTACAGGGATACTGTAATATATAATACTTCTCAACTGTCAATGGATATCAAGCTACTAGAAACAGAAGAAATGCATATTTTTTTCATTAGGCTATCTCCAAAAATGGGCAGGGGAATATAAAAGTGAAACTGTTTCTATAAAATTGTTCAAATAAATCTTTCATAGTTAATCATAACTTGATTTGCATTTTGAGACTACAGCAGGTTTTTTACCTTATATAACTATTTTGAACATATATGTTCCAAATAGTTATATAGAATTATTTAATTATGTTCTTTTCAAAGCAAGAGTTGAGAGATATAAATTGCAAAATCTTTCAGCTTGCAAGTTTAATGTTTGTGCCAGTTAAATTGTCACTAACACCCACAGACTAAACTGTGTCATGTTAAAGCATGTGTGAAAACTCAGCTGATTTAGCTGTTACAAAATTAAATTTTAATCTGGTGAGAATGAAGGTTTATTATTACAATCAAGGACTAGTTCATAAAGAAAAGATATAAATGGAAGCAGGTTTTGCATTTTGTTGAATAGCCCACTATAAATCTTGCTTGTTTTTCAATCTAAATATTTCGTAGTTATTGTATGGAAAATCATAGGAATTTCAATAACTTGATGTAAGCTCATAACATTCTTGTTACTAAAATAGTTGGTAGTTTACTGAAGGCATCTGAATGTTTTTCACCAAATTTGATATTTAAAACATATAGTTTAATAAAGGGAAAGTAAAAAAAAGTTAATGTGTCACAATACAAGATAATGGAGAACTGCAATAGCCTTGTATCTAAACTTAATCAAAGCTCATTCTTATATAAGAATCTGTCTCCTATTTAAGAATAAATGGAGTTTGAGGCAGAAATGGAGTTGTAGGCAAAAAAAAGTAAGTTTTGAAAAGTGATTAATATATATTAAGAGTATATACAGTATTATATTAATGGAAGAATTCCAGGGAATACAATTAAAAATACTATCATGAACTTAAAATGTAATTAAGTATAAATTAAAGAATATTTTAAAAAATTATAATTTATCTACATTTACAAAACATTTAATAATTCTGTATAATAGAAATATCACAGTACTATGTATAAATACATTGTTGCAATGAATGGAATTTTTTTTTAAAAAAAGGGATTGAAAAATATTTTTGTATCATTCAGATTATAGGTGCTTTAAAAATCACATTAACATTCATTTGATTTATATCCCACTTTTCATTCAAGATAGTCTGGCAGCATGAATTTTCTTTGAAGACAAAGAAAGTCCAGTTGCCTCTTGGAAAAGTCATGACCTGGATGACTGTGAATCTCCATAGACATTTAGAACTGTATTTTTTTCCCAAACTAGGGTTTAAACCTGTAGAGGTGGGGGAAGTGCTTTTTAAATTAGCATTTAGGTGCTCTGGGGCTGTGCAAAGTCTGAAAGACTTGTATCATTGTTGAAGTATGTACAACTTTATTGTTGTACTTTAAATGGTGCAGTAATTCTGTTACACTGCTGTTCCAATTGTGTTGCTTCTATTTTTTTCAGATTGCACAATTTATCTGTTAGTAAGCTAAAGATTGAAAATTTAATTAAACTTCTTAATTGCTCCCTTTTCAAATCCTTGGGAGCCTGCTCTAATTAAAAATAGGTGCAGTTTCTTCTCATATTGAGGGAAGCAACACATATGTTTAATGCAAGCCTCCAAATAATGCATGAAATGTATGCATAGACACTTAAGATACTTCTTCAAACATTTTAAACACATCTGTCAATCATTTCCATTCAAGTGTGGTGATCAAAAGGTTTCTTCCTGTTTCTTACAGCTTAGTATTGTAAAAGGTAAAAATGTAATAGTCACAATTACATTTAATAATAATAATGATGATGATGTAATAAATGTAATATAAAGTCCTTAAATTATGTAATTATACAAAAAAACCCTGCAGATAATAAATGTCATCCTTATTTTACTAATTTATCCATAAACGTTATTCAATCTAATCCACATGGTTAAGGTACTGGACTTGAAAAGATGAATTGCTCTTCCATAAGGATGAATCAGGGCAAGCCAATTAACTTTGTTAAAGGATCATTGTGTTTCCACAGAAACGTCGTTGTAAATCTAATACTAATTGATTCCAATGAATAGTAGCAGGATCATGCTTTGCTTCCAACCACTACTTTAGTCAAAATTCCCATGAAGCAGAGCATCCTGAAGCAGAGCCTCTTATTTAAAGTGTCATGAGTAAATTATCAGTTAAATTCTAAGTAAAGCACAACTGATTCAAAATGATTACCTGAAAGATCTTAAGAAGTTTCAACACCATCTATCATGTGGACACACTCAAACTGACTGCATTTAAGGGTGTTTTCATAAGGGCAGTATTTGGATACACATCTAAATCATTTGACTTGTGAGGACTACATTTTCTGTATGAACAGTCATCAATATTAAGAGGTGGATAGACTTCCCTCTTTAGATTGAATGGATAATGAACAGAGGCAGAGGCATTTCAACTGGTCCATCCTAACTTCAGAATGTACATCTGAAGCCACATGAAAATGTATTTGTCCCAAACATTTAATTTATATTATTGTTTATATGGTTATGTGTCTATGTGTATGTTGCATGATTGTTTTGTTTGCCATATCTTCTAATTTTGTATTACTCTAAATATTGTATGAATCATTTCAGACTAAAAATTATATCAGTACAATTGCAATTTCCACTACAATTTCAATGCCACAGGGTCCCGTCCCCCCCACAGCAGTTTCCAGGACATACAGCCATGGAGATAATCTAAGCTCCCTGTTAGCTTTTCACACTTACAGTTTTTGATAACAAAATATCCTCAAAGGTTTGTTTACTTTGAATCCAAAGGGCAAAAACCCTCCCAAATCCCTGCCACACGGGAAAGCATTTAGATTGTGCCTTAGATGCAAGAAAGGAAAATTAGAAAAAATAAAAAGATATGTATCATCTTGTAGGTTTATATGTAGCAAGCAGAGTTTT